CCCTGTAATACTGATTTCGTTAATTTTGAATCATATTCAGCAGAATCAACAGATTGCTTTCGGTCGATTTTTGATGTCGTATCTGTCAAAATAATGTATTAAAAAAAAAGAAAAGAAGAAAATTGCAAAAAATTTGAAACAATACTAGATGCAGTAGTGTATTGAGAAATTTTTTATGAATTTATAAAATTAAAATTTTGTACTTTCATTGAAGTATCTGGGAGATAGAGGGAGAGAAAGAGAGAAAGAGAAAAAAAAAAGATCTATAATTAATTTAACAACAATGAATGATTTTAAAGCAAATTATTTTTTTAACACATTTATATTTTGTTTTGATGCTAATTTCAATGATATTAGATGTAATAATTTTATTATTAGTATTCCTATTAAAAATAGAGAATACTATGAGAAAAAATGCAAATGGAATGATCAATAGATAATTTAATTATTCAAATGATAATTAAAGTTTAATTTGCAATTGGCGTTTCTTACTCAAAAAACTTATTTAAAAGGTAGTTATCCAAAATTATTTTAATGAAAAAAAAAAGCACCATTAATTTGTTCTTGAGGTGCGATGGTATTTTGATTTTTCTTACAACTGGTACCTTTCGTTGCACCAAGCAATGTCATTATGATACCAGTTTGTGAATTCATTCCAACAGCTGTTATAACCATTTTTCCACTCCCTTCCATTGCATGAGTACCTAAATATCTAGCTTTTTTTTTTTAAAAAAAAAGAACCAAACAGAAATTTGAATTAAATTAAAAAGAAATAATATTGATTGCATTTTCTAAAATATCAAAAAAGGCTAACAAATTAAGTGGTGGAATTTTGGATAAAAAATTAAAAAAAATTACCTGATAGAAGTACCGGATCATCATGTGAACTTTTTTTAATCAAATCTGATTCACCAGTTAATGATGATTCATCCACTCGTAAATCATTACTTTGTATTAAAAGTCCATCAGCTGGCAGTAAATCACCTGAAATAAGAATGAAAAGAAAAAAAAATTGGTTAAAAATTTCATTCCATAAATCTTTCAATAATTTCATTTAGAAAAGAAAAAATAACGAAATTACAAAATTTTTATACCATATTTAACCCGTGCAATATCACCGACAACTAATTCAGTAACAACAGTATCAATTGCTTCACCATCTCGTATTACAGAAAATTTATGTTCTGTTTCAATTTTTGCTTGTAATCCTAAAATGTAAAATCCTTTTATTTTTTATTGTAATTAATTAATGATTTGATAATTATCAATAATTAATTGAACTTATTTCAGTGATATCAATATTTATCATTAAATGATGATAAAACCTCGAAATTGCTTCTCTTTACTCCAATCGTTTAAAGCTGTAACCAAAACTACAACAATAACAGCAAGTAATATGGCTGCTCCTTCGATCCAGCCTGCTTCACGTTCATTAGCATCATGCTCACCTGAGAATAATACATTCAAGATAACTAAATAAATATTCGAGTTTTTGTTGTATCAAAATGTACATACATGTTGTAAATTTATCGTGTAAAAAATTCTGTTAGCTCATTTTTTGAATCATTTAATTTTACAATAATTGATTAAAATATAGAAAAAAAAATGAGAAAAAGAAATACCTGCTACTGAACCTTCTGATGGTTTATAAAAGGATAAGCCTAAAGATACAAGTGCTGAGACCAACAATATAATAAGCGTTATATCCTAAAATTTACATGTAACTCAAAAATTTTCAATATTTTAAATTTTATTTTTAAAACTCTAAAACAAATAGCAGTATTTTGCCACAATTAACATTTTAATTAAATAACTAAATGAAACAATAAATTGATGATGATGACCTTCAAAGCTTCGAATGCTAGCCGTAGAAAAGATTTTGAAGGTGCCGGAGGAATTTCATTCTTTCCAAATATCCTTCGCCTTTCTTCCAATGATGATTTTTCATTGGATAATCCATTTATTGGATCTGTTTTCAATTTTGCGCATAAACCATCGATACCACCAAATTTTTTGTTCACCTATCAGAAAAAAAATTCCTTTTCACATTTTTAAAATTGTAAAAGAATCGTGTGTAAAAGTTTCGTTTATTTATTAATTAATCAAATTGGCTAATCATTTACTAATTAAACAATTAAGATAAGCTGGATTATAAGCTAAAAGAGCATGGTGAGAATCGAAAATTATTACAATAAATATGCTTACCCAAAAAATTAATTCTCATAAAAATTAGGAGTTT